TATCCTCCCCTAGGGTGGGATGGGTGGGTAACAGGACCCCCGTTCATACCAGTGTTTACTACACTGAAGCGGCTATCCTGTATAAATAAAGATGTCTCTTTTCACTCTTGACGAAATTAAACCTTTGAAAATAAAAACGTTTAATACTTATGTTGACATGATGCCATTTCGTTAATAAAGGCCTGTCCTATCGTTTACCTTTTTAAGTATATTATTATTTATTGTTTTATTTAATGTTCTATGTTATGCTTAAAAGTTTATGTTTTTTTTAAGCTCTTTACATAATGGATGTCATTGCTAAGGTTTTCTGGAATAAAGTCTGGACTAGGAAAACATTTTAGCTAAACCGGCTAATTATTTCTCGCACAATGCTCAAATCAAGATTTTCTCGTTATTTTAATCTCTTTTCCCTTCTGCATAAAAAGTGTTATTTCTATCCTGAATCGATGACCCTTGCCATTTAACAAAGTCTTTAACTGTGGACTCCATTTCTGGTCGATGCAGAAAGTAGTTTCTAACGTAGACCACGGAATGATAGTTCATGTGAGCTGCACAAACATATCTCCCAATCACTCCTGAGCTAAATTTGATATGAGGCTTTGGAATAACTTGCCTCTAGAATCGAAGGAGCTGTGTTAGAGTTTCGTTGCCGACGACTTATGTTTCGCAGCGTACCCACAATAGCCTGACGAATATGTCTCATCTTCCAACAGTAAATAACAGGGTTCAAAAATGAGTTTAAGAACAACAGCGTCAAAGAGTATACGGCTAAACTTTTAGAAGTAGTATTCAAACCGTTAAATTTTTTGGTATAGAAGTAAACTCCCCGAGGTACGTAACAAATCAATAATAAAAGATAGACAAAAAATAAACCGTTAGCAGATTTCTTAGCGCTCGAAAAATTCATGTTGCTCTCATTTCGCGTTGTTGTCTGTTGAAGTGCATGAATTTGGTTTCTATGTCGACGTATAACTGCATAAATCTTGATATAGACAACGGTTGTAATAAGAATACACACCACCCCAATAACGAAGAACAGCTGCGAAGACACCACACTACTACGCCAAATACTAGTTGACGATATAACCGCGCAAAAAAGCCACATTAAAATTACCACTACAATAACACGCTTTTGAGACACTAGTTCCTGATATCGGAGGTGAAGATAAATCGCCAAAAACCTGTCTATGCTGATGGCTACAACACCAAAGAAAGAAGCTAAAAGAAACACATTGGTGAGGTTTAGAAACGCCAGATATGTTATGCAAGTAGGATTTTTAAATCGCGACCACTTTACAAAGATGGCGATGTAAAATGGTTCAACCAAAAGCCCAACGCATGTATCTGAAACAGCTAGACTCAGAAGCAGTATTTTTAAAGGCTTCGACAGAGAGGAAGTTTTTATAATCGCATGTACAGTTACAATGTTAAACATGACTGTTGTGCAGCATAGAACACCAATGAAGACGTAGTTGACAATGTAGATGACATAAAGTTCTTCAACTTCGGAACTCGTCGGAAAGACCTCTAACGATTTTTCACAAGATTCCATTATCGCGTCAAGTTTGTTCAGTTCAATGAATAACGGCCATCTTGTAATCTTTGTGACAGAAGTTCTGGTTCAATCGTCCAAAACATTTGAACAACACTCCAACTTTAATCTGCCATTAGACTTTCCAAAAATAGTGCAAAATTTTTAGTGAAGTTCCTTTGTAGTCCCGATCAAGTTCTACACCATGTTAGTGACTTTAACTGCATAGAACTGAAATCTTTCGATCAAAAATTTGATTCTAAAGAAAACGAAACGCTGCGCTCAATAATTTCGTTACGTTAAGAGGAACTCAAAATGTTTGCCACCTCAGTCATTAAACAATATAGGCCACCCGCTCCAATGACGTATTATGGCTTATGTCAACGTTAGTGACGAACATCACAAAGGGATGTAAATATTCAGATGTTTCACCTGCAAAAGATTGGCCCAGAGTCTGTAAACGGTTAGCCAGGAATCTAAGATCTCAAGATCTGCCATATATTTGATCTAGTATGCGAGGATAAAGCGAAATAAAACGCAACACAATTCCACCATGTTTTTTGACAGAAACTTACCGTCGCGCGAAATCAATTTGAAACAATCTACTTCTCCAAACGAGATTTATGATAAGCTTACGTCACGCGAACACATGATTAAGTCCAAGTCTCCCGGTGGTTGGTTCATAGTGGGCGCCTTTTGTTTTTCAACTTCCTGTTGGGAAAAGAATTCAAAGCTTGACTTCAGGAAAAAAATCAGTTTGAGTGAAGAAAACTTCAAACTCCTGTAAGATTACTGTAACTGCGACGTTTTCAAAATGTTGGCGTCTATGGTCTATCTATCGAACCCTAACACGGCACTCTTCTCGGGCTAAACTCCAGGATGTCGGTGCATCTACAACTGCTTTACAGTGGTTCCGGCCTTATTTGTCATCACGTCACCAAGTTGTACGCATCAACTCTACTCTGTCAGATCGCATGCAAGTAAGAAATGGCGTACCTCAAGGAAGTATAGTCGGCCCACCTTTGTTCAGCATTTACGTTAATGACTTGCCGTCAATCCCACAGTTCTGCTCCCCACAATGCTATGTTGATGACACCAAACTTCTGTTATCCATTGCACTTTACGAGGAGAGAGGGGCCACAGATAAAATAAATCAGGATCTGCTTAAAATACGGAACTGGTGCTTTAATAACCAGCTACTTTTGAACCCAGGCAAGACGAAACTAATGATCTTTGGAAGCAGACAAAATATTGCAAAAGTGAATGATGATTTTAATCTGTCCCTTTTCGGGAAAGATCTTGTACCTGCAACAACCGCTAAAGACCTCGGTGTAATTATGGATCCAAACTTAACTTTCGGAAATCATATTCTAGAAACAGTTTCTTCGTGCATACCACGTTTAGCTCAGATAAATAGAGTTAAGCGGTACTCTTTTGACAAACAGTCCTTAATTATTATTATAAACTCACTTGTTTTCAGTAAATCATTTTATTGCTCACGCGTTTGGAGTAATACTTCTCAAATTTAAAAATGTTACAGACAGTCCAGAATTTTGCCTGGCGCATAGTAAATAGAAGAAGAAAATGCGATCACGTGTCTCCATCTTTAAAGGAACTACGCTGGCTCCCAGTGAAGGAGCATCTTTACTACCGTGTTACCGTAATCTCATTTAAGTGTTTAACTGGATGTGCTCCTGGATATTTATCTACACAATTCATTAGACGATGTGATGTCACAAATCGTAGAACGCGAAGTTCTCAAATGCTTAACATACCTCGCTTTAGAACAGCAAGTGGCCAAAGGACTTTTTTCTATAGAGCAGTTACTTTATGGAATTCCTTATCTAACGATCTTAAACTTTGTGAATCGGTTAATGCGTTTAAACGCCACCTTAGGTCTCGCCTCTTAAGTAACCTTAGCACTTCCGCTATTTAAGTCATTGCTATATTTTAAGTCTGATATAAAATTTTTTAGCTCAATTGTAGAATTAATTTTTACCTTAATTGTATTGCCTCTGAAAATCCTCTTTGGGGAAGTGGTAATAAAGTATGTATGTAAAGTATGTAATTGTACGCACATTTGAAGACAGTTTTCGAACATTTAGGCGAATGCTGCAAAGACGACTTTAAGTCTCAAAACGATAGTAATATTATGTCTTCAAAGACACTTCTTAGTGATGGAGATCTAAAGTAATTACCACAGTAATTGGCCATTCGTAATAGCCCTTTTGGGACCAATAAAGTATTTTCATTGGTATTTATTAGCCGCTATTTCTACGATTTTCAGTTATCTTTCTTTTTTTTTAGTTTGCCCCTCGATTCCCAATACTCGTTGGACACCGTTTAAGATGGCTGGGTACAGTTTTCCTGCGCCTTGACCGGCTATGTTCAGACCGCTAAAAAACTGAAGTTTGAAATAGTGGGGCGTTGTGACAATAAAGTGTTAGATCATTTGTAGTATTTATTATAGAGTGTTAAAAGCATGCAGTTAGTGTTAGATAATTAGTACTATTTATTATTGTCCATGTGCCTATGTTTAGGGCTTACATATATATGCATTCGTAAATCCTAGTGTAACGATTTTTCCGTCTCGTAATCGTGCAGCAAGTTAAAGAATTACACGCAGTATTTTTAACATAAACTCGTCTTTACAGGCGTGGCATAGCAATCACTATTAATATGCTAAAGTTATAAGCTAATCCCTTTAAAATTTTTTTGGAAATCGACTCAGAAAATTCTCCATAGCTTTTTCCCATTTTTAATATTTTCCTAGTTGAGGCTAGATCTCAATACTAACCAAATCTATAGCAGTTCCAAAATTATGATGTACTCAAGTCCACTCTTACATCAAATAAATGTTCGAAAGTCATATTGATATCATTGAATTTATTAATAGAAATTTCGGAAGCATTCTACGTTGCCATTTTCGAGATAAAAAGGTCCAACTTCGAACTAATGCCCACCAAATGTAATGTTAAAAAATACTCTTAATCTGCTAAGCTACAGCACCTCATTGATTGGAGAAATTCTTTTCAAAATTACGTGTAACACGTAAGAGCATATCTAAAATTAATTTAACGGGAATCAAATGTAACTCATTCAATAACACTTAATTTAGAGCCCTTTTGGGGGGCGTCATAAATTTTAAACGGCTAGATTTGATTGGTTAAGATTCTCTTAGAGAAGTTCTTTTTTTATTACTTTCAATACCTTTGTTGATCATTTAATAGAAAAACATCTCGTTTAGGGGAAAGGTGATTTGTTAAGTCGAGCACTTAGGTTGAGGAACCAACAAACTGCAAGCCGGCAGCCACATCAACCACAGGGCAATGTAAAACAAAACTGAAATGATTCATTGTCAACTTGAGTACTTGCGTCGGGGGACCAACAGACAGCTAAGTGGGCACGTCAACCACAAAACAGAACAAAAAGGTAATGATAATGACAAGGAAGGTTAGAAGGAATTGAAAAAATAAGGTATATGAATTATTGGCTGGTTAGTTAGTATTATAAGTGGTGAAAGAAATAGATAAGGCAGGCGTAAAGAGCTGGAAAGAAATTGGGGTTAGACTGAATTGCATCATTGATGTTAGTGAGTGTGTGTGTGTGTGTGGTTGGGGGGGGGGGGATTGGAGCGGCTTAGAAGGAAGTGTAATGCCGAAATAAAAATGATTAGCAAATAAATCGACGACTTACGATGAGGAACCAAAACCAACAAACTGATGTTCTCAGACATACACAGTAACATACACACATAGTTTATTGCAACTCCCTACAAGGGTTTTTCCATTACAAGGCTACATACTTCAAGTTAATATCACACGAAATTAAATAACCAAATAACAAAGGTAACGAATACGCGATGGAAAGTGAGTAAAATATATTAAGAAAGGGAACAAAATCCAATGGATTATATTTACTATTTACAAATTCATAGATTAATCAGGAAAAAGTAGTTTGGGCACAGCACAGTCGCTAAAGTCGAAGGAGTTGTGGTGTCGTTTGTTTCGGTAGTTGCAGTAGGTCGGTGAGCGTTTCGTCGGATGAAGTAAAAGATTTTGTCATTTTTTCTTTAAAAGAACACGGTCAACGTATTTGTTCTCGTCGGATCAGCTCTCGGAAATGTTGCATACTAGTTGCGCCCGTCGTGTCAGAGCCCTGATGGTCGTGGCTTTGTCTGATGTCAGGTTGTGGTATGACTCGTGCAGTAATTTATCGGTATGTGTCGGTTTCCTTTTAGACTTTTGTCCGTATTGATGCCTGAGTTGCCTTCACGGCTTACCAGGCAGCCCACCAAGAGAACTTTATCATCTTTTTCTACTTTCGTGGTAAATTTTAAGTCAGTTGTATCCTGTAAACTTTCAATATCCTCGTCACCCACAAACCCATAACTACGCTATGTCAGTAAGTAACAAACTTCGACTAAAAGGACGAACCGAAGAAGAAACAGGGAGCGGTTTACAAGATCAACTGCTCCTACTTCCAAGCCTCCTACGTCGGAGCGGAGACTCGGAGAAACCTCATAACAACACTAGCTCAATACAAGCGGGCGACGAGAAATGGTCATGTCAGCAATTACATAACAGGGCTCTGCGAACTGTCTAACTTACAGCACTAACTACTTTCAACGACTGACCTGACTTCACTAACTTAGAACAGACTCCCCTCAACAGGCGTCAACTACAAACAGCACCATATTAACGACCTATTTACAACATTAACACTACAAACGAAAAAAAAAAGAACAACCTAAGCTTACCGACGGATCGAAAGCGACCAATCACTGTCGAGTTACGTCACTTGAGACTTACAGCCAATAACAGCACGGCTAAACTAACTAATCAGTGTCTACGAACAGGGTTCAAAGGTTGACTTCAGAAAAAATAAGCTTAAGTGAAGAAAAATCCAAACTTTTGTAAATGCACTAAAGCGAGTGTAACAAGGTTACTCCGTTGTTTTCAAAATGTTGGCGTCTATGGTTCAATTGTAGGCACATTTGACGACAGTCTTTGAACATATATAAGAGAACCTTTTTAGAGATTTTAAACCTCAAAACCAAGTAAATATTATGTCTTTAAGACACTTTCTAGTGATGAAGACCTAAATAACATTGTTTCTAAAGTTTGCACTCAAAGTATGATAACGGATTACAAAATAAACGCCACCCACGGATGAAGGGTACCAGTCTCCACGCTCCAGAATCATGACACAAGGTTAGTGTATAATTTTCGCAGGGTGTCCACCATGGCGCGTCGAATGTGTCTCATCCTCCAGCAGTAAATAACAGGGTTTAGTGTTGAATTGAAGAACATCAGCGTATATGTGCTGACTTGAAAACTAGTCTTGACGATGCCGGAGCCATAGATTGCCCGAGCAGCCAAATAGATGAAAAGTGGGGCATAACAAACTAAAAACGCAAAGTAAACGTATAAAACTCCGACGGCAGTTTTCATGGTCCTTGCCAAATTTCTCATCTCACTATTTTGTCTGGATCGTTCCTCTTGTTCTTGTACTCGCTGGATTTGAATTTGTCTTTTGTGACGTCGCGTGATAAAATAAATCCTACAGTAGATAGCTGCGGTGACGAGGAGGCAAATGGTTCCGATAGGTGACCCTACCGTGGAGAGTACAGCAAAAGGAAAGAGGAACAAACTAAACGATGCAGACAAACTGTACGCCCATATGAAAATGACCACTCCAACAACCCGCTTGTGAGTCACAATTGATTGGTATCTGAGATGAAATTGAATCGCCAGGAATCTGTCTATACTAATGGCCATGATATTCAAGAATGAAGTCATGGAAAACAAATTCAAAACGACATGGAGTCCCAAGAAGAAGGTACAGTCTTCATTTTGAAGCTGTAACCATTTTATAAGTAATGAGAGAAAGAGTGGCTCCACTATCAAACCAACGCCAACATCAGATACAGCAACACTCACCAGCAATGTTTTTAGAGGTTTCGATAGCGCAGATGTTTTTGCGATTGCATAGATTGTGAAAATGTTCAACACTATAGCAGTGTAGCAAATAAAACTGTTTAAAACGCAGTTTATGATAAATGATGATTGGAAATCATCCAGTTCTGATATTTGCGGGTAAATCCTGAGAAGTATGTCGCAGTTTGATTCTGCCATGATGATCCAGTGCTAACTTGCTGCTTAGTACGTGTATGGACTAGGACCAAGGCCTTTATTTTTAAAGGGAAATTTGTCGAAGAGCTTTTTGTTAAGGAGCAGGCTTTTTGCGTCAATCAGGGAGAGAGATACATTGTGGACTCAAAGGAGGATTAATTCGATCCGCCTTGACGTGCTAAACTGCTTGAAAATAATAAATAAGCTCCTGTGAGGTATGAAGAATAAGTTCTGACGAGAAAACGAACGAGGAGATTTCTGTATTCGCAATCCCTGTGGATAAAAATTATTAAAATCAAAGAGATGTATTGAAGTAAGTTTTATTAAAAAACTCTCAACCATCAACGTATCATGGATAAGTCGACTTTAAATACAATGGATCGCAAAACACAACAGCTGTTGACCAAGTAACTATTTCTCAAGTCAATTGAGGAACTCGATCGATTGTAAGTACTATGGTACAAACAATAAATGATCGCGAAAAAGATGCAAGGGAGACTAATGATCGATATTTACACTGAGACAGAATTAGGCAAGACGGCAAGAATACATTTGTTTCAACATTAAATGGGAAAATTGCTCTTTTTCATGAAGTGTCCATAACAACGGTTAGGTGAAAACTAAATGCGTGAAAATAAAACGTCATGATGGCTGGATACAGTTCTTTTAAAGCTGGCGAAACACTTTGCTTTTCATTGAGGATCGTGGCGGATTTGATCACCAATTAAATATCTAATATGTCTAGCATCGGCAATTTCATACGCCGATTGGGGCGATTGGCAAAAATTGCCATCACCAATCGCCGCGCTTTGCGTTCACCGACTTAAGCTCTGAGCGGTTATATTCATGGCACTTAAAAACCAACTTTCACCCTTTGAAGTCTAACGATTCTCGCGCATATGTTAAAAAAGGGATTGAAGTTTGAAATAGTGGGCGCAATCACCAGAGTTATGGGAAAATCCCGTTAATTCCTTGTATAGATGGGCAACTGCAGCTCAGCTTTTCAAATTTAGAATTTTTTTTTTACAATAGCATTTCTTTCTTCACGGGCACTTACATTAAGCCAGGACAAGATGTTTCACCCGAACGATAAATTGAACCGTATCTTTTCACCTTCTTGAACTGAAATCTGTGACAATCTTCACTGTTCTTGGTCAACCTTATCTTTTGGGTTACTCGTACCTTTTTCAAACTTTCTCTACCCAAGCTATTTCATGATCGAGAATTTTAATCGTTTAAAGGACGACTCCTTTGGAACTACAATGACTTAAAAAGATATGACGAGGTTTTTTAAAGAAAAGACAACATGATGTTTGACGCAAAATTCCATTCCAGAAATAAAACCTTTGAAACGAGACTGATTAGAGTCGGACCACAATGCTGAGAAAATTTAAAATAACTAAATCTACAGCAGTTCCAAAATTATGATGCCCCAAAGCTCATTTCTTATATCGACTTAATGTCAGAAATTCTTTTTCAGGTCATTGCATTTTATTAACAGAAATGTGGGAGAAATTTTATGCTGCCATTTTCGAGATAAAAAGATCTACCTTCGAATTAATCTCCACGAAAACTAATATTAAAAGATAATCGTGGCTTTGTTTGATGTTGGGTCGTAGGATGACTCTTCTAGAAACTTGTCGATATCTTTCAGGTTTCTCGATCGTGAACAGGAGGCGTAACATTACAAACGAACCAAACAAAACGAACTAACGTATGATGCACGATCCTTGCGGTAGATAGCGCTATTTATGCAATAGCGAAAATCAGATCTGAAAAAAATCAGGCCTGTACGGGATTCGAACCACTGACCTCTGCAATACTAGTGCAGCGCTCTACCAATTGAGCTAACAAGCCAACTGGGAGCAGGCCGTTAAGTTGATTCGTGATAAACCCGTGAAAGTGATAAATCAGATACAATGAATATATGAAGTTCATATATTTGAACTGCGGTATTAGATACGTATGATGCACGATCCTCGCAGTAGATAGCGCTATTTATGCAATAGCGAACTAACATTAATTACCGACGAATCGAAACCGACCAATCCCTGCCGACTTACGCCACTTGAGTCTCACAGCCCATAACAGCTCGGCAATTTGTACAAACCGGTTGCCAACAGGGTTCAAAGACTGAGTTTAGAAAAAATAAGCTTAAGTAAAGAAAACTCCAAACTTCTGTAAAACCAGTAAGAAGAGTGTAAAAAGGTAACTGCGTTGTTTTCCAAATGTTGGCGTCTATGAAAGAATTACAAGCACATTTGAAGATAGTTTTCGAACGTATAGGTTATTTTTTTAATCTAAAAATGCGCAAGTATCATGTATTCAAAGACACTTTCTAGTGATGAATAACTAAATAATATGGTTTCTAAATCAGGAGTTTAATTCTCCATTGGCAACATTGGTTTCCAAAATCCAGCCTCACTTCGAATCGAGTTTCATTGATGAGTTGTCAAAATGTCGAAAATCAGGCGGAGCCTTAAGTCTTACGGTGTTCAAAATCTGATAGAGCCAAAGAATAAGACGGAGCCAGATTGAAACCTCGTCCTATATCCGATGGAGGTTGGAATCGGATGAAGTCCAGATTGGAATAGGGTTCAGAATATATAGCGTACAACCCAAAAACTGAAAGCTTTGGAATTTCGGCTAAAACTAGATAGAAAAAGTCCAAATGAAATTCGGATTGCACTCAAAAGTAGACGACAGATTGCAAAATAAACATCGTATTCTGATGAAAGACTCTAGTCTTCACGGTCTAGAATCAAAACACACGATTGGTATATAATTTTCTTAGGGTGTCCACCATAGCGTGTCGAATGTGTCTTATCGTCCAGCCGTAAATAATAGGGTTTAGCGATGAATTGAAGAACATCAGCGTATATGTGTAAAGCTGAACACTAGCAACAACGATGCTGGGGACATTCTTTGCACGGGCAAGCAAAATGATAAAGCGTGGGAAATAACAAACTAAAAATGCAAAGTAAACGTATAAAACACCGACAGCAGTTTTCATGTTCCTTGCCAAATTTCTCATCTCACTATTTTGTCTGGATCGTGCCTCTTGTTCTTGTACTTGCTGGGCTTGAATTTCTCTTTTGTGGCGTCGTGTGATATAATAAATCTTACAATAGATAGCTGTGGTGACGAGGAGGCAAATGGTTCCAATTACTGACAGTATTGTTGAGAGTACAGCAAAAGGAAAGAGTAACAAAGCTAACGATGAAAGGATAGTAAAAGTCCATATTGAAATTACTACTCCAACAACCCGCTTGTGAGTCACAATTGTTTGGTATCTGAGATGAAGTTCAACTGCCAGGAATCTGTCCACACTAATAGCCATGACATTCAAGAATGAAGCTTTAGAAAACAACATTAAAATGACATGGAGTCCCAAGAAGAAGGTGCAGTCTGGATTTTGAAGCTGCAACCATTTGAAAAATAATGAGAGATAGAATGGCTCCACTATCAAACCAACACCAACATCAGATACAGCAACACTCACCAGCAATGTTTTCAAAGGTTTCGGTAGCGCAGATGTTTTTGTAATTGCGTAGATTGTTAAAATGTTTAACATGATAGCTGTGTAGCAAATAAAACTGTTCAAAACGCAGTTTACGGTTAATGTTGCTTGGAGTTTATCCAATTCTGATATTTGTGGGTAAATCCTGAGAAGTATGTCGCAGTTTGACTCTGCCATGATGATCCAGCGCTAAATTGCTTCTTAGTACGTGTTGGAACAAGGACCAGGGCTTTTTTTACTCGAAAGAAGAATTTTTCGAAGAGCTCTTTGTCAAGGAGCAGGCCTTTGCGTCAATCGGGGAGAGAGAGATATTGTGGACACGAGAGGCGATCAATCAGACACACGATGACGTGTCAAACTGCCTCAAAATGATAAAAAAGCTCCTCTGAGGCATGGAGAATAAGTTTTGACGGGGAGAACAAGGCGGTTTTTGTATTAGCAATCCCTGTGAATTAAAATGATTAAAATCAAACAAAAGTTTCGAAGTAAGTTGTATTAAAAAACACTCAACCATCAACCTATTATGAATAAATTGATATTGAATACAATGGATCGAAAAACACAACAGCTGTTGACCAAGTAACTATTCTTAGCTCATAAATGATAGTAAAAGAGGTGCAAGGAAAACTCCAGATTTTTGCGTTGAGACAGAATTGGTCGAGACCGCAAGTGTATTTTTGTTTCAACGTTATATATAAACACTTCTCTTACAGATGAATTGTCCATAACAACGGCTTTTTGGAAACAAAATAAGTGAAAAAAAAAGGTCATCAGTTCTTTGATTGTCTTAAGGATGGCTGGATAAAGTTTTCCTGAAGTTGATGAAACACTTGGTATTTCACTCACCGACCGGGGCGGAATTTTTTTCGCGGGTGAAAATCACTAATATCTGATATGCTAGATATTGAAAATATTATACGATTGGCGAAAATCGTTGACACAAAATTGGTCGAGCTCAGAGACTATCTTTGTTTCAAAATCTAATAGAAAAATTGCTCTTTTTCATTGTCCCTTAACAATTGCTTTGTGAAAACAAAATGGCTGAAAATAAATCGACATCATCTCTTTGATGGTCTTTAAGATCTTTATTCGCCGATCGGGGCGGATTTGATCACCCGTGAAAATGAGAAATTAGTTATACAGTCGAACCTCGATTATCTGGACCACTGGGGACTGGCCTGAATAGTCCGGATAATCGAGACTCCGGATAATCGAAAATATGAATATTAATGAGTCAACACTGAATACATTTGTAAACCGTAACATTTAACTGATCGAGAATCATGCAAGAATGAACCACAATCACAAGCCATTTCTGACTACAATTTACTACTATGGGTGTTAGGCGCGTTTAAGATCACTCGGGCAATAACCTTGCCCAAAATTGTCCTTTGATGCGAAACAAATTAAGTTCTGACTGGAATTTTATAACTCAGTTCGGCGTATGATAGCTTTCCTACGGATAATAAATGTGACCAATTAATATTCATGAAAAAAGGGGACCAGAAAAGCTAGTCCGGATAATCGAGAAATCCGGATAATCGAGGCCCAGATAATCGAGGTTTGACTGTAGTGAGTTATAGGTGCACACGGGAGGTTGCTAAGCATACATACATTTACATTTTTTTACATACATTTATTTTTTTGGGTAAAACAGGTTAAGTTAATACAATCGCAGCAAAAGGCTGATGTGGACCTGCCTAAAAATAAATTAGATAAAATAAAAGTAGGATGATGTAAAATGTATAAATAAAAACAAGTTAAAAATACACATAGTTATTGTGTTTATTAGCTATCATAGGAGCTCTAAACTGAGAAATAATTAATGTCCTCGGAAAATCTACGCAAAATTTGCTTGAGTTTGTCTTAGCTCATCGACTCATTTATATTAATTAATCTATTAAGAAATGTCCAAATTGTTGGTCCCCTATATTGAATACATTGTTTGCCAATTTCATATTTGACACGTGGAATAACAAATTGGCTTTTACAAATTGGCTTTTACAAATTGGCTTTTACAAATTGGCTTTTACAAAGAGGCGAAGAGTCGCTAGAAGCGATAGCTGAGAGTAACTTTAGCTTCTCGAGCGCTCAGCAAACCTTTCAAGTGCGTCTATATCTCAGTAGTGTTCGCTATGGTGTTTATAATTTGTTTTATAGTATAAAATCATTGTAGCAAAAGATTTTCCTTCAATCGAACCAAAACCTTTGTGTAGTCTTACATGACCAGACATAACAATCGCGCGAAAACGTGGCAATGCACAACTTGCAGGGCTCGATCACTCGCCAAGTCAATTGGAGGTAAAAGTAATCAAGTTTACTGAAATTCATTAAAAAAAAAAAGCTCTTTCTGAGCTTTGTATCTATAAACAATCATTGCAATTATTCAACCATGAGCAAAGTGTCCGACAAAAGTAAAGAACCGTCTTTTAATGTCACTTAAAAATGGACTGTACGCCAAGCTGAAATAAACACAAAACAAATGGTCTACCAAAATTCACTTATTTATAGACCTTAACTCTTCAATTTATTTTAACCGAAGGCAAAAGTAATCACATTTACTAAAATTCATTTAAAAAGCTCTTTCCGAGCTTGTATCTATAAACAATTGGTGAAATTGCTCAACCATGAGCAGTGTCCGACAAAAGTAAAAACCGTCTTTTAACGTCATTTAAAAATGAACTGTACGCCAAGCTGAAGTAAACACAAAAAGAAATGGTCTACCAAAATTCTCTTATTTATAGACGTTAAGTGTTCTATTTATTTTAACCTCTAATCATAGTAAACGCTCTCTGAAAGCTGCTTTTTACCTTAAAAAGTGGACACTGACCAGTTTTTTTATTCCTTTCGTCTTTTTTGACTGCCGTTCGCCATCAAGCTCTCGAAGCTTGCTTTCGCTTACACTTGAAAATCTCTTAGCAGATAACTCAGCAAATGGACAAGAAAATAAGACAAAGGATTGTATGTCTGTCTCATTTTCCGGCAACGGCGAAGACATTTCTGCATTTCTGGTAGAAGCACAGGCGGCCCAAGGGTACTGCGTGTGATTTTTGGGGTCTAAAGTTCATAATCGGCAATACCTAACATATTAAGATCGAATTTTAAGCGTGAGCGTGGGCCGTTAAAAAAAGGAAAAATCATAAGAAAAATCAAGAGAAAATTAAAAAGGATAATAAAAGCGAGGAATAATACGTGTGAAGTCTCCTTACCTTTTTTCTGTAGCCGCTTTGTCGCCAATGGTCGTTTTAGCGCTGTTTTGGCGACTTTCTTTGTAACGCGTGCGGTGATACCAGTCAACTGTATAGACGGGAAAATTATAAAAAAAAAAAAAAATTAAGAAAAAATTAAAAAGGATAATAAAAGCGAGGAATATATCGTATGAAGTCTCCTTAACTTTTTCAGTAGCTTTTTTGCCGTTTACGGTCCTTTTAACGCTGTTTTGGCAACTTTCTTTGTAACGCGTGCGGTGTTACCAGTCAACTGTACATAGGAAAACTCGAGACTGGAAACTTCAACCGGTCCCGAACACCAACCGTCGCCACTCGAAGGCTGATAAATCCCACAAAAGTAGACCGATCTTCCTCAAATTTCCACCCGCAAAAGCGCTTTGCTAAGTGCCCGTTCCAGCGGCAAAATTTTCCAAATTCTGCTGCATCGATCCGAGAGCCGCTCCGTTTTCCCACACATCTGGCTAAATCGCTTCGTAGGTGTTCGTAATCCTTTTGGCTTTACTACGGGATTCAAACATCGAAGTGTATCCTGGTCGAATTACACGCACGACTCCCCAGACGGTGTTGTTTGACAATAGGGCAAAGGTAACAACCCTCCTATCGATCCCCTGGAGAGTCTTTATTTGGTCAGATCCCTAGTAAGATTCCTTCTTCACCGACACTTATTATAAGCAAAGACAAGAGGTTTCATACGAACGAAGAATTGAACCTCAACTTTTCACCATCTTGAAATGAAACCTGAGACAATCGTCGCTGTTCTTGATTATCCTCGTTTTTCGGTTATTCGTACCTTTTCCAAAATTTCTCCACTCCACCTATTTCGTGATCGGGACATTTATCTTTTAAAAGACGCTTCTTTTTGGAACTACAATGACATAACTGATAAAGCTAAAAGTTCTATTGGGGAGACGAAAATGGAAAACGGTTCAGGCGGTAAAAGTTATTTACGGTGACAGTCAGGTTTAAAATCTTTGTGAGGAAAAAACATTTAAACCGAATCATTAATAAGTAGCCTTTGGAAAATTTAATCAGCTTGGCAGTTGATTCCCTTGGGAAACATTTCAGTGCCGCTGAATAGCAAAAAAAAAGAAGAAAAGGAACCATGGTCACGTTGCTACTGAAATTGTATATAGTGGTGCCAGTCCACTTCACATGCCAATGGTGTGTTAAGTTCTCTTTGTCAGAGTAATCTACGGAAGCCGAAAAGGGACAATTCAAAAATATTTTTCAAATCCCGAAAAATATTTCTAATCGCAATATTTATTTTAAACGCACTGTCGAAAAGTTTGACAAATCCAAAGATATTTTGCAAATCCAAAAAAATATTTAGAAATCCAAAAAAAATTTTTCAAAATCCGAAAATATTTTGCGAATCCGAAAAAATATTTTGAAATCCAAAAATATTTTTTCAAAATCCGAAAATATTTTGCAAATCCAAAAAAATATTTTGTCACGTGCTATTTGCGCCTGCAGTCACCCAGCGTTTTCTTGCCATATTCCGCATATAGGATAGAACATGTTCTGTCATAAATGTGGAAGAGAATGTGGGAACAATGAAACATTCTGCCGTTGTTGTGGAACACTAAAATGGCGTGAAGAGGAAAGTGTGTTTCCAGCTCGGGAGACGAAAGATTGGCTATAGAACATTACTTTAATAAGGGATTTCGTTACGAGACCATTGTTCACTTTCTGGCAGAATACCATGGGATTTCAATGAACGTTAGGACTTTGAAGAGAAGGCTACGTCACTATGGGTTACTCCCCAGCGCGTGTTTAGAGTAGCCTATTCAAAGTTTGGCCCCATTGAGTATGTCTTTGGGCTACCGCCCTCTTTTGTAAGATACGAGAAACGGATTTTTGTATATTTCGTTGAG